GCGTAATAGTCAAGTACTGAAGGGCGCCAACAAGAGATCTGTAGAGAGTAGGATCAGAGAAAGAAGAACCATCAGCAGTCAGGTGTTGAGAAACAACCATGGGAGTGTGAACTGGTTTGCTATCGAGCAACTGAGCACGAGTAAGAATATCTCGAGCATATTTTAACTGACTAATAAAGAGACCATCAGGAGTGGGTGAAGCTTCAAGACCAAGAAAGTAACTGAGAGAACCCAAATCTTTGGTAGCAAACTCAGAATGAAGCTTGCGAGTAAAGCTGTCAATAAGAGATGAGTTGTTGCCGGTAACAATAATGTCATCAACATAAAGAAGCAAATAGATAAGGTTAGATTGCTGATGAAAGACAAAAAGGGACGTGTCAGCGCGACTGCAAGAAAACCCAAGTGTGAGAAGAAATGAGCTAAAACGCTGAAACCAAGCACGAGAAACTTGCTTTAAGCCATAGAGAGCTTTCTTTAATAGACAAACATGCGTGGGAAATCGAGGATCAATATACCCAGGACGTTGTTCCATATGAACACGTTCAATAAGAGTTCCATTGAGAAAAGCATTCTTGACATCAAGTTGTCGAAGAGGCCATTTATTTGTGACTGCAATAGAAAGCACAATACGGACAGTGGTAGCTTTGACAACCGGACTGAAAGTGTCAGTGTAGTCAAGACCAGGAACCTGAGTATAACCTTTGGCAACGAGACGAGCCTTGAAACGCTCGATGGATCCATCAGGCAAATATTTAATACGAAACACCCATTTAGAGCCCACGATGTTGGTGTTGGCAGGGCGAGGAACCAAAGTCCAAGTATCATTTTGTTGTAACGCTCGAATTTCTTCATCAATGGCAGCCACCCAAGCAGGATTCTTAGCCGCAAATTTGAATCCTTTTGGCTCAGTGGATGCAAGAAGAGCAGAAAGAAGTCCAGATGAGCCCAAAATACCAAGATTTGCTGGATGACGAGTCTTGAATATACCAGCTTTGGCTCGTGTGATCATAGGATGAGTGCCCAAAGAAGAGAAATCAACAGGAGGTTCAATAGAGGTCGAATTAGAAGTCGAGGGTGGCAAAGTGGAACCTGCAAGAGAAGTATCGACCTGCACAGACTCATCTACAAGGTCAGAACAAATATTACACGGGGATGAACTGGATCGAGGAATGTGCGGTGATGAAGTGGTAGGGGGGGATGAATCAATATGATGAAGATGTGGTTCCAAGAAATTTGAAATAGAAATAGAGGAAAGAGGTTGGGCCTGGGAGCTAGGGATAGCAGGAAAGTGAGATTCATCAAATTGAGCATGGCAGGTGATATATAGCTTAGTGGTGGCGGGATCAAGACAGCGGAACCCTTTATGAACAGGACTATAACCCAAAAAAATACAAGGAATGCTGCGGGGAGAAAGCTTGTTAGGCATATAATCACGCAAATAAGGATAAACACGACAACCAAAGGGATGGAAATTGTCATAATGTGGAGTGTAGCCATAAAGGAGTTCAAAGGGTGACTTACCTCCAAGAAGTGGAGTAGACAACCGGTTGATAATATAAGCTGCAGTGTTGAAGGCGTCAACCCAAAAACGAGGAGAAAGATGAGAGTGAAAGAGAAGGGCCAAGCCAGTCTCAATCACATGACGATGTTTTCTCTCAGCACGACCATTTTGAGCAGGTGTATATGGACAAGAGAGTTGATGGTGGATGCCAGAATTACGTAAATGAGTTTTGAAACAAGTACTAGTAAATTCGGTACCACCATCGCTTTGAAATACCTTGATACGAGAAGAATATTGATTTTCCACAAATTTTTGAAATTGAAGAAAAATATCAAAAAAATCAGATTTAAATTTTAAAGGGTAAAACCAAGTGAATCGAGAATAATCATCAATAAAAATAGCATAATAAAGAAAACCCGAATTTGATTTGACGGGAGAAGGACCCCAAAGATCACAATGAATAAGATCTAACACATGAGACGACCTACGTTCATTGCGGGAATAAGGCAATCGATGACTTTTCGCAAGCTGACAAGTATTACATAATGATGGAGAAGGCAATAAAGACGTAAGAGAAAGATGACCTTTTCTATTTAAAAAAGAAATAACAGAATGATTCACATGACCCAGACGAGCATGCCATAAATCATATGAAGCACGTAAAGATTTGTTTCTAAGGGCTGAAATAAAAGCAGAGTTGTCGCGCTCCAGCATATATAGCCCTCCATCTCTTTTACCGGTTGCCACCACCCTTCCTGTTTGATGATTCTGGATAGTAATAAGATTATTAGTAAATGTAACGGAGAGAGGAAAATCAGACGTTAATTTACTTATGGAAAGAAGATTTTTAGTGAGGTGAGGGACAACCAAGACATCTAATAAGTGAATATTTGGAACAGGAGAAAGAGTATCGGTGTGGGTAATGGGTAGGGATGCACCGTTTCCTACGATCACAGAGTCCTTACCCGTGTAATTTTTAGACTGATCCAGAATAGATGGGTCGGCAGTCATATGGGCCAAAGCTCCAGTGTCCAGAAACCAATCAGCAGTATCGGGTCCAGTAATAGAACATGACGTGTTAAAGGCTTCAGCAAAGTGAGCATGAGAAGAATCAGGTCGAACATACCGTTGGTTGCAGCGGTCAGCATAATGGCCCTCTTTGCGGCATATTTGGCAGTGAGGTGGTCGACGACCCTGACTTGAGTGGGTTCGTCCTCGATTAGAAGAGTTGTTTTTGTGAGAATAAGAACGACTTCGCTGGTTGGTAAAGGAAGCAGGGTGGCTTCCATGGGTGCGACCACGATTAGTGGCTGTGAATGCTGTAGGAGTGGAGTCAGAGGACTCAAGGGAGCACTGGAACAACTCAAAACTTTCAGCTTTAAAGACTAAATCTGCAAAACAGAGGATAGGGGTGAGAGCCATCTGAGCAGTAGAAAAAGCTGAAAATTCGGTGCCGAGTCCACGAAGGAACCAGTGCACTTTATCAATGTCCTCGACGGGTCTACCAATGGCATGAAGTTGGTCACAAATTTTTTTGAAGGCACGGGCATACTCAACAACAGGTTTTGTGCCACGTTTCATCAACTACAAGTCATCCTTGAGTCTTAGTTCATGAGCTTTTGACTGATGGCTGAACGTAGTTTCCAACGCAAGCCAAACATCACGTGCAGTAGAGAGACCAACGACAACAGCCATGGCTTCCTCAGTGAGAGAGGAGAGCAGGAGACAAAGAAGTCGTTGATCGGCTGCTCTCCATGCCAAATATTTGGGGTTGAATGTTGAGGAGGTTTCTGGTTCAAAGCGAGGTGGTGGAACCATAGTTCCATCGACATAGCCCAGCATGTCTTGACTCACAAGGAGAGGGAGAAGTTGGCTTTTCCAAAGAAGATAATTGGAAGAAGAAAGTTTGATGGTGATCATATGGATGAAAGTATTGAAAGGAAGAAGATGATAAGAAGATTCGGAAGCCATAGAGAAGAAAGGATCAGGGTTGTTAAACCGAAAGGGCTCTGATACCATGTGAATGTTTGCTGAATCCACCACACCTGAATGGTGGTGAGAGTTCTCTTATTTATAATCATTTACAGAATACAAAAATATGGTAAATTACAAATAATATGGAAATAACGATAAAAGGAAATAATAATATATGAATACAATATATTTGCATTTAATAAAAGGGCAAATATGGTAACCCGTAATACAAGGCAAATATCTAGATATTTGCCTTATAATGAACAGTCAACTATCCTTAACAACAACCCTAGTTAATGTATAGAATATATATTTAAATAATTATAAAAAATTTCAAAAGCAATTTCTAAATATTAAAAAATTAAAAAAAAAAAAAAACTTACAAACTATACCATCAATCATTGGTTCTAAAACAAGATAACAAGATCTCTAATCAATCCATTATTTATATTCATATAAATGACAATAAATAACATTTATATTTGTTTTATATAATTAATTATCTCTCTTCCTATTTGTGAAATGTGAACCGTTAATTAAAGTACTAATTAATGAACAAATTATTATCAGTTATAAGCCTTAAATTAATTAATTTTAAATCATTAAATAATATTTTTATTTTAAATTTTAACTATCACGGTCAAAAACTAAACACTTATACAAAAACTAAATACTTATACGTATTAAATTATTTAATTAAATAAACTGAACTTATTTTATTATAAATAATAGTTTTAATAAATATGGTATTACATTGATATAAATTATTAATAAAAATAAGGAAACATATCCATTTTTATTTATATTAATTTAAATTTTTTGTTTATATTAATTTATAAAAATAGAACAATTTAGTGCATTAACATTATTATCCTAATTATTTTTTATGTATTGCTATCCATTATAAATTTAATATAAACATATTTATAAAAATTAAATAAATAAATAGAGAGAAAATAATAATAAGATACATATATCCACGCTTAATTATTATCAATTATTTTATTTCCACAATATTTCCAAGTCATCGTTATATTGGTATCTTTATAAAATTACGACATAGAATATTTACATCGAGATCGACGTGTAAACGAGACGGGGTGGTCGAAAACTAGAGGGAATTGCTAGCAATTTTCATCCTAGCTTGGCAATGGCCTGGCGTGGTGCATATGAAGAAGCTGTGTTCTGTTGAGAGCATGATCTCATCCTTGCCTGAATTGAACACTTTGGCTCCTCTTGGAGCTATGTCTCACAATCGCACTTTTGATGGCAGCGGACTTGCGATTGTACGGCACTTACTTTCCAATGACAAGTGAGCTAAGCCAATTCGTTCTTGCATCGCCTACGGTCAAACGACGTATGCTCGAGCCTCTGGCCTCGGTTTTAAGAGAAGGTTTTAGAAAACGAGGGCAAAGAAAGATTTTTGAAAGAGACGTTATATAAGCAAGCAAAATAGAAATAACAACGGCTCACAGTATATAACCTTGGGTAGGCAGAAGTTGACAACTAGTCGTATCCCCCTATAGTACATTTTGAGGCATTTCATGTCTAACGGGCCTAGACATGATATTTCTGAAGCGTCATACTTCTTAGAAATACAAAAGTAAAACACTAGAATATGAAAAGACATAAAGGGTTGAGTTTGTCATGGGCATACGGCCATGGGCAACATGCCTTAGACGAACATGACCGTGACCTCCTCCCCCAACCTAATTGGTTGACGTCCCTGTCAACCGACTACTTTCAAACCTAGCGATGTGGGTGGCGGCGGAGTCCAGATCTTCGGCGCGATCCCAGCTGGTTTCCTCCATAGGAAGATTCTTCCATTTGACAAGGAATTCACAAATCGTCCGTACAGATTTTTCTATCTTCCTAACCCTGTCGGCTAGGATCTCCTCTATTTCTTTGCTGTCTCTTTGTTTCAGATCGATGCCCGGTCTCGTGATTACATTTCGTTGGTCGTCGTCCGGGTCAAGGTGATAGGGCTTCAAGTTTCTCACATGAATTACTGGATGGATTTTAATCCATGTGGGTAGCGCAACTCTATAGGAGGTAGCCCCGATCATTTTAAGGACTTCAACCGGGCCTTCATATTTTTGAACTAGTCTCTGGTCCTTTCGGCTGTGAAATCTGATCTGTTCTGGTCTCAACTTGATGAGGACTTGATCTCCTGCTCGAAATTGGAGGGGGCGATGCTTCTTGTTCGCCCACTTCTTCATATGCTTGGAAGCTTTCTCTAAATATGTCTGGGCTATATCTGTTGTTTGCTTTCATTCTTTTGTGAAGTTTTGAGCTTGAGGATTTTTCCTTGCATAAGGATGATCAATAATATGGGGCAAGGCCGGTTGTCGTTCACTTACGATTTCAAAGGGACTCTTCCCCATAGACAAGCTCGTTTGACAATTGAAACAGAATTGGGTGACATCTAGTAGTTGTATGCAGTTCTTCTGGCGAGCGTCGACGAAGTGACATAAGTATTATTCGAGCAAGCATTTGAACCAATCTGTCTGTCCATCAGTTTGAGGATGATAGCTTGAGGAGATGTTTAAAGTCGTTCCCAAGAAGGCGAATAATTCGGTTCAGAATGTGCCAATGAATCTACCATCCCTATCACTGATGATGCTCGACGGAATGCCCCATAACTTGATAACGTGTTTGAAAAATAGTTGGGCTGTTAGTTCAGCCTAGCATAATTTGGGAGTAGGGATGAACGTCACATATTTCGAGAATCGGTCTACGATAACCAAGATGGTGTCATATTCCCCGACTTTTGGGAGGTGTGTTATGAAGTCCAAAGACACACTTTCCCAAGGCCTTGTTGGCACAGGTAAAGGTTCCAAGGGTCCCGAGACTTTGGCTTTCTCGACTTTGTCTTGTTGGCAGATGAGGCACGTCTTGGTGTACTGCATGGTGTCGTCTCGCATATTCGGCCAGAAGTACCCATTTTTTATTAGGGCATATGTTCTTTGCCACCCAGGGTGTCCGGCCCATAAGGTATCATGACATTCCTGAATGAGCTTCTTCCTCAGCTCTCCCGTTCTTGGGATGTACAATCTGTATCTTTTAGTCATTAGAAGGTCTCGCTCGACCCAAAACTGTAGTGTCTTCCCAACTTTAGCTAGTTCGACAATGGCTTTGGCTGATGGGTCTTTGTGTAAATGTTCTTTGATGATGTCGCGCATGGATCCATCAATCTTACTTGAATGAATATGGGCTAACATGCACAGGGCCGCATGTTCGCCCTTCCAACTCAGCGCATCGGCTGCTTGATTACTCTTCCCTGCCTTATGTTTGAATTTGAAGTCAAATTCTGCCAACGACTCCTACCACCGGGCTTGTTTTGCCATCAATTTTGGTTGATCGAAGAAGTGGAAAATGGCATTGTTATCCATCTTCACTATGAACTGTGATCCCAAGAGATACTGTCTCCAGACTCATAGGCAATGGACTACAACCAACATTTCTTTTTCGGAAGCAATGTATCTTCGTTCGGCATCATTGAGCTTTCAACTTTCATAAGCGATGGGGTGGCCTTCTTGAATAAGGACATCGCCTAGGGAAAAGTCGGAAGCATCTGTTTCTATTTCAAATGGCTTTGTAACATCTAATAACCCAAGGACAGGACCCCTCGTCATGGTTGCCTTCAAATCTTCAAAGGTCATTTGACATTTATTTGATCACAACCAAGGGTGGTCTTTCTTCAGGAGCTCTGTTAATGGGGCGGCTCATCATGAAAACCCTTCGACGAACCGCCTATAGTAGTTTGCTAATCCTAAGAAGGGCCGCACATCGGATACGGAAGTAGGGACTTTCCACTCCTGGATAGCTTTTATCTTATCGTTATCCATACCGATCTGCCCACAACTGATGACATGTCCAAGGAAGTTGTTGCATGTTTGTGCGTAGACACATTTTTCTTTCTTGACGTACAACTAATTCTGTAGCAGCTTGTCAAACACCAGCTTCAAGTACAACTAATTCGCCGGAGTTTTCGGCTCTGCCGACGACCATCATTTTTTTTTCGGTTCCGTTACATTACCTACCCCTAAAAGGGACTTTCATCCTCGAAAGTCATGAACTCGTGGATCAACTCGGGATATTTTTCCTTTATATCCTCCTCTTGTTCCCACGTAGCTTCCTCGACTTGGTGGGTACGCCACAATACCTTAACGAAACCTATACTCCTATTACGTAAGGCTTTCACCTCTCGGGCTAGAATTTTAATCGGTTTCTCCTGGTAACTTAAATTTTCCTCAATTTCGAGAGGTTTGTAGTCTACGTGCGTCGGGTCTGGAATGTATTTCCTTAACATGGACACATGAAATACATCGTGTACGCTTGAAAGTGAAGGTGGTAAGGCTAGTTTGTAAGCTACCGGACCTACTCTTTCTAAAATTTCGAACGGTCCAATGAATCGAGGGCTGAGCTTCCCCTTGCATCCGAATCTTAGGATACCTTTCATGGGGGCTACTTTTAGGAACACTGGGTCCCCCTCTTCGAACTCTAAATTCCTATGCCTAACGTCGGTGTAGCTCTTTTGCCTACTCTGCGCGGTACGCATTCTTACTCGAATTTTCTGGATTGCCTCGTTGGTGACACGGACCAGCTCGGGTCCTACCAGTTCTCGTTCTCCTACTTCGTCCTAACACAATGGGGATCTATATCGTTTTCCATACAATGCTTCAAAGGGTGCCATCCCGATGGTTGCTTGGAAGCTGTTATTGTAAGAAAATTCCATTAAGTGAAGTTTGGTGTCCCAACTCCCTGTGAAATCCATAACGCATGCCCAAAGCATGTCTTCCAGAATTTGGTTTAATCGTTCTATTTGGCCATCCGTTTGTGGGTGGAAGGCGGTGCTAAAGTCGAGGCGGGTACCCATCGCCTTTTGGAGTCTGCGCCAAAAGGCCGACGTAAAACGCGGGTCCCGATCTGACACAATTGACACCGATGCTCCATGCAACCTTACAATTTCTTTAACATACAGTTGTGCCCAATTGTCTACTGTATATGTTGCCTTACCCGGTAGGAAGTGAGCCGACTTTGTCAGGCGGTCCACGACCACCCAGATTACCGTATAGCCCTTTAATGTTTTGGGTAGGCCTACTATGAAATCCATGGCAATGTTTTCCCATTTCCATTCCGGTATGCTTAAAGGTTGTAGTAGCCCAGCGGTTTTCTGCCTAGGGGCTTTTACTTGTTGGCACACTAGACACTTACTCACGTACTCTGCGATATTCTTCTTCATACTTCGCCACCAGAAGTGTTGTTTCAAGTCTTGATACATCTTTGTTCCACCTGGATGTATCGAGAAGGTTGAGTTGTGTGCCTCCGTTAGGATTTCATTTTTTATTTCGCTCATGGGTGGGACACATAAACGCCCTTGGCATAATAATCCATCATCTGTTGATTTAGTGAATCCGTCCACTGGGCCAACTTCCAATTGGTCTAGGATTTTACTTAGGCTTGGATCCCCACGTTGTGAGTCTATGATCCTTTGTCTGAGTGTGGGGCGCACTGTCAGTCGGGCTATTTGGGCGGCAACTTCTTTGGTTACTACCGCGATATCAGCCTGTTCGAAATCAGTTTGCACTCGTGGCTCCCTGGTGATGAGGGCCGACGAGTGTACTGCTTTTCGACTCAGTGCATCAACGACTCTATTTGCTTTTCCAAGGTGGTACTGGATGTCTATGTTGTAATCTTTTATCAGCTCTAACCATCTACGTTGCCTCATGTTCAATTCTTTTTGGGTGAACAAATATTTTAGGCTTTTGTGGTCCGTGTAGATCTGGGTCTTTTCGCCATACAGGTAGTGTCGCCAAATTTTTAACGCGAACACCACTGCTGCCAGCTCCAAATCATGTGTAGGATAGTTTTTCTCGTAATCTTTTAGTTGGCGTGACACATACGCAACCATCTTGCCATGTTGCATCAGTACACAACCTAATCCCTTTTTGGACGCGTCACTGTAAATCACATATCCCACAGAACTTTCTGGAACTGTGAACACTGGGGCAGATACTAGTCTTTGATTTAGTTCTTGAAAGCTGGCCTCACAAGTATCGTCCCAAACAAAAGGTACACCTTTTTTTGTCAATTGGGTGAGAGGCGTGGCTATTCTAGCGAAGTCCTGGACAAACCTTCGATAGTAACCCGCCAATCCCAAGAAACTTCGTATCTCGGTGATCGTTGTTGGGCGTTTCCATTTCGTGACCGCTTCTATCTTATTGGGATCTATGAAGATTCCGTCTTTAGACACTACGTGCCCCAGAAACGAAACCTGTCGTAGCCAAAATTCACACTTGGTGAATTTGGCATACAGCTTGTTCTCTCTTAGGATAGTTAAGGCTTCGCGAAGGTGCTCTTGGTGTTCTAGGTCCGTTTTCGAGTATATCAGGATATCGTCTATGAACACGATCACAAACGAGTCTAGGCAATCCTTAAATACTCGGTTCATTAGTTCCATAAATACCGCTGGGGCATTGGTGAGACCAAAAGACATCACCACAAACTCGTAGTGGCCATATCTGGTTCGAAAGGCTGTTTTCGGTATGTCCTCATTTTTAATCTTAATTTGATGGTATCCTGATCGAAGATCTATTTTAGAAAACACTGTCGCCCCACGTAGTTGATCAAATAGGTCCTCAATACGGGGTAACGGGTATTTGTTCTTTACCATCCTCTTGTTTAATTCCTTATAATCAATGCACAAACGCATTGAACCATCTTTCTTTTTAACAAACAACACTGGCGCACCCCAAGGGGACACGCTAGGTCGAATGAAGCCTTTATCTAGCAGGTCTTGTAGTTGTGTTTTAAGCTCTTTTAGTTCTGCTGGTGCCATGCGGTACGGGGCCTTAGAGATGGGTCCCGTTCCTGGTTCCAGATCTATTCCAAAGTCTACCTCTCGCGATGGAGGAATTTCTGGGAGGTCCTCCGGTAAGACATCCGTAAATTCGTTTACTACGGGTACTGTATCTATGGGTTTTTCCTTTCCTTTTGTATTTACTGCACAAGCTAGAAACGCCCACCCCCCTTGTTGTATCAAGCGTCTCGCTTTCATCATCGATATTATTTTTGGGGTGGTACCTGTGGAGGTTCCTTTAAACTTAAAGGCAAGTCCGTTGGGAGGTGTGAATATCACCTCCTTTTTATGGCAGTCTATGGTAGCAAAGTTTTCTGCTAATCAGTCCATTTCTAATATGACGTCAAAATCCGTCATATCCACTACCTTTAAGTCTACGTGGATGGTTTGTCCAGCTATTACCACTTGTCCGTCCTTTACTCTATTTTTCGTAACTAGGTCTACCCCTGCTGGGGTACCGACCGACAATGCATGCATTAAGGGTTGTACTACGAACCCTGCTTGTTTAACAAATGGTAAAGCAACAAAGGAATGGGTAGAACCAGAATCAAACAATGTCAACGCAAAGTGTCCTAGTATAGAGAGCGTACCTGTCACCACGGTGCCAGATGTTCCCGCCTTTTTACTGGTCGTTACATATGCCTTGGTCTGTGGACGGGTTTGTAAGGTGGGCTCTCGGATGACCGGTCCTCTAAGGGGTTCCCTTGGAATTCCCGGGCTCTTTGTAGGGCAAGTTCTGACCACATGACCTGCATGACCACAGATATAACACATACCTGAGCTTGCCAAACATCTCCCAACATGTTGCTTTCCACAGTTACGGCACAGGGGCTTCTCCATTGCTAGGTGTCGGCCTATTGAAGGTGGAGCAGGTGGCAGTCTCTGATATCGAGGTCTCTGGAACGGTGGTTGGAACTCTGTGGTATCGACCTCGACAGGGCGTTTCCTCCCTATGGTGACCGTTGGCTCTGTTTCTTTTCCTCTGGGGGTTCCTCTAGGGCCTTGGCCGTCCTTAGGGCCTCTTCATAGGTTTTCAGGTTAAAGGCCTCTAACATGCGGCGGGTTTTCAGATTCAATCCTAACACAAATTTTTCTGTCTGTTTCTCTTCAGTGTCGGCTAAAGACGGTGCAAACCTTCTCAATCTCATGAAGTCCTGATCGTACTGATCCACCGTGCGATCACCTTGGGTTAAGTGGTTAAACTCTTGCTGTTTCTTTATACGGGTTTCCTTTGGATAATAGTATTTTAGAAAGGCTTCCTTAAAGATCTCCCATGTTGTAATTCCCCCGCTCGGGTTGATGCTTTGTTCGTTATCCGACCACCACACTTCTGCATCTTTTTGTAACACGTATGTCGCACATGCCACCTTATGTTCATCAGGGCATCTCATTGATTCAAAGGTCGTTTCCATGTTTGCGATCCACATCTGAGCCGCTGTGGGATCTTCCTTTGAACCGACAAAAGGACGGGGGTTATACCGCCTGAAATCCTTTAACCAACTCGCGCCCCTATCCGGGTGCGGGTTGTTTACCGGTTGGATAGCTACCGCATCCACCGGTTGTGGGGCCGCCGCGTTGGCTGGTTGCGTGGCCATCGCGTTAGCTGGTTGCGTGGCCATTGCCGTGACTTGTTGTGTAGCCAACAACGTGGCCTGTTGTGTGTCTAGCATGGTTTGCATAGTTTTTTGAAGGGATTCCAACAGTAACTTTGTGGCGGGGTCTAACCCGGTCTGTGGTGCAGCTTGAGGGGGCGGTGTATATTCCGAAGGGGGTACCGCTTGTGGGGGAGGTGCATATTCAGGAGGGGGTACAGCTTGTGGAGGAGGTTCATATTCAGGAGGGGGTACAAACGCATATGGGCCGGTAGTCGACCCCTCTTGGGAAGAACTTCTATCGGCGTCTTCTCTTCCTCCTCTCCTAATGGGAGGTCGTCCCCTCCCTCTCCTACCTCTTCTACGTCCTCTGTGCAGCATGGTTCTAGAAACCAAGAAAGGATTCTAGCTAAGTTTATGATTTACAACATTCCCTACATCCTACCATATAATTCATATGTATACATATATATAAAAGAAAAACATAAATATCGTAACATAAAGACATGCATTACATCAAATCACATCAACATCAGATAACATCAACATTTTTTCATACCGTAACATGTCATGCATGATTTAAAGCCAACCACATTAAATATATCACGCATGTCATACATTCCTCATTCTACATAAGGTGTACCTGGCAACGACGGGGCATCGGTAATTGGACCGTGGAACATGCCAAGCCTACTCTGTAGGCTAGTCTATAAGATCTATAACCTAGGACTCTGATACCAACTGTAACGACCCTAATATTTTACCTATTTAATCTAAGGTCATTACTATACTTTGAAATGCGGAATATACATTTAATGGACCCTATTCATAAATGCAGTTTGCACTCACCTTTTTTATTACCTCAAAAAAAGATTACAAGGGAAAAAGGGAAACATTATTGAAAGAAAGGAAAAGCAACAAAACCAAGAATGAATAGCTTATTCTACCCCAAGGTTTATTGTGCAAATACATTTCATCCTATTCTAACCTATACTAGAAATGGGTAAAAAAACAATCAACTACCCTATGCATGTGCCACGATCCTGAGGTGTCCGATGCCATCGTCGTTGTCACATGGGTGCCTTGTCCTTATCTGCAAAAGTAAAGTAGCACGAGGCTTGAGTATTTCTAGAATACTCAGTAAGTGACCCCCTATCGGGGTTATGCGACAAACACATGCAATGAAATGATGGGACCTATCTTTCGTTTCGTTTCATTTCGTTTCGCTTCGTTTCGTTTCTTTTTCGTTTCGTTTTACTTCATTTTCCCTACGGTATAATCCTAACAGGTAATCGTGGACGTGTACCATATACTCTACACGCAGCCCATACGTGCGAGTATGGGCTCACCAGCTAGTTCGCACACCGCTGGGCCACTGTCCCTAGCCGGTGGGCATGCTCAGGGGGCCCACCGGGACCCTTAAAACTAAAACCGTCACGGCAGCGCTATGCAGGGCATAACGATCGTTGTCCTACCATTTGGATGTACGCGTCCATACCCTCGTGATGGGATAGGGGTATCCCCCCAAATGCATGAACACACAATATGCATGAGATCCCACTAGTCCTACAGTCATCATTTAATGAGCATAACCCCGTGTCACGTTTTCATGCTTACATGTCATTCTCATTCTCATTTCGTTACATATCATACATGTTCCTAGCGGGGTTATGCACCATGCAATTTACCGTATTTCATGTCATGCAATTCATTCAATCACATTCCCATACTCATACAACAAGCCAAAATCGTACACGGGTCATACATCGTCACATGCATTCATATCACATCCACTAAGCAGCATAAATAACATACATTCACATTCACATGATTTCGTACTTAAGCACATTAAGCTAGCATACAGTTTAATGGCACATGCATAACCACGGGCACATGCCAACATTCAGCAATTAATGCGTAACCTACAACGGGTGAGCCACTTAATTGGTAGGCCTTAGCCGAAGTACTCCCTAAAATATAACGTAAGCTCCTAGCTCCTCGTAGATGTTCTACGCTTTCGTTGGTGGTTGGTTCCTATTGGTTCATGAGTCACTTCCGTTAGTATTCCAGAAACAATAATAAATTCCCAACTGGAATTTGAGAAATACGACCTTAAAATGTTCCCTTTTCCCTTAAACAGGGCCGAAACCAGGTCCGGGAGGGTCGGAACGGTGTCAAACGGGCTGGAAACAGGTTTCCCGAGCCGAATAAGCCACTGGAGCCGAGGAGCCGCCGCCGAGCCGATGAAGCCGCCTGAGCCGAGAGGAGCCGCGCTGCAGACGTGACACATGGCACAATCAGAGAGCGACGCGTGTGCAGGCATCTCGGGTCGAAGCACAGGTTAACGGGTCGCTCGCAGGTCTCGAGCCGAACGCGAGTGACGGGCCGCGCGGTGATGGTCCGGCTCGTGGGTGACGGGCCGCGCGGTGATGGGCTGGCTCACGGGTGAAGGCTGGGTGTTTGGGCTACGGGTAATGTGGGTTCTGGGCTGACCGAAGGGATGGGGTTTGGTTCGGGTTTCTGGATCTGGATCTCGGGTCGAACTTCGTCCTCTTCGTCGACTGCTTGCGCGATTTTCTAGCGATCTCTCTCTCTCCTCGACAACTTCGTCCCGACAACCTTTTTTCCTTTTTTTTTCCCCGTTCCCGAGATTATCCTTCACCCTAACCCCATTTTTTGTACAGATTTCGTTGGTAAGGGCCTCGCACTCTCGGATCTGGAGAAGCTCAGAAGTCCACTGTTCCGTCTTCCTTGCCGACGGTGTTCAGCGTACGGGATTCGTCTAAAACCTACTCCTGATGTGTGTAAAGCGTTCTGGGATTACTTTTGTGGTGTGAAATGGGAGTTTTCGACATTGATTCGTATGGTTCGGCTTCGCCGGAGTTCCATCGGTTTTCTGTTCTCTCTCCTTTTTCCTCATCGCTTTCGTTTCTTTGCAGGTTCTTTTAGGGTGGCTGAAGGTCGGGGACGTGATTTGTGGCATCCCAGCCCTCGGCCGCCCTTTGTGGGTCGCGTGCGAGCGAAAACTCCAGCGTTCGCCGGAGTTTTCGGCTCTGCTGACGACCATCATTTTTTTTTCCGGTTCCGTTACACAATCCCTTCTCGATGTCTTGCACCTTCGTACGCCACCAAAATTTAGTGTCATCTATGAGATACATCGAGGCTACTGTCACCTTTATGTTGTCGGTACAAGCCGTTGTGGCTTTGAAGTACTTTTCAACATCAAAGATGAAGTTCTCCAACTCTTTGGCATCTCGGTTCCCTTTGAAAGGTCTTGGGTCTGGGAACTTCAGTTTGTTGGATCCTGTATTAGTTTGCCCAACCGTGACGTTCTCCACGGCTTTCATGGTCACCTCAATTTGGGTGCTCATGACGGACATCTTTTCTTGGATTTTATCGATCGTTGTTCTGAATTCGTCAGCTAATCCATTGAACAAACTCATCATTGTATTTTGTAGCACGTCGAACTCTTCGCCATGTCCCTCCTTGTGCGCGACAAAGCTATCGGGGCTACTACACGGTCTTGGGCTGCTCGTAGGAGCAACTTTTTCTTCAAGTGAGGTCACTCGAAACATCAATTCTACAATTCGCAACCCATCCAGGCAGTTACCCATTGCGTCGATTTCTACGACTTTTCCATTCAATTCTGTCACCCGTGCTTCCAGAAAGCGGATGGTGTGAGGGACTTCTTTGAGGAACAACATTTCCTCATCTATTAAAGTAAGCCAATCGGCTTGTGATTTAGGTGTCGACTTTGTCATCGACATGTTTTCGGTCTTTGCTATTTCACAGAGCTTACAAAGCTCAGATACCACTTGTCACAATCGCACTTTTGATGGCAGCAGACTTGCGATTGTGCGGCACTCACTTTTCGATGACAAGTGAGCTAAGCCAATTCGTTCTTGCGTCGTCTACGGCCAAACGATGTATGCTCGACCCTCTGGCCTAGGTTTTAAGAGAAGGTTTTAGAAAATGAGGGCACTTTAAAAGAGACGTTATATAAGCATGCAAGAGAGAAATAACAACAGCTCACAATATATAACCTTGGATAGGGAGAAATTGACAACTAGTCGTATCCCCCTATAGTACATTCTGAGGCATTTCATGTCTGACAAACCTTGACTTGATATTTCTGAAACGTCGTACTTCTTAGAAATACAAAAGTAAAACACTAGAATATGAAAAGACATAAAGGGTTGGGTTTGTCATGGGCATACGGCCATGGGCAACATGCCTTGGACGAGCATGACCGTGACACTATGTAACTTCTATAACCCTCCTCACCCACTGCCACAACATTGTGAACTCTCGGGTTATAGTTGAATCCTACAAAATAAAAATAAAAATGTATGTATTCGTTTCGTTTATTATTAACAATCTAACTGCGAATTTGATTGGATACTATTGGAATATATTTTATATAGCTGTAATGTAACGACCAACCCAGATCCTCTTTGGGCTTTCCCTTTCGAGTTTCCCTTCAAGGATTTAAAACGCGTCTGCTACGTGAATTGTGTTTTGATATATTTTATCTTATCTTCACGATTTGGTTAGTAGAATATTTTCTCTTTTCTCAGACTTTCGATCTCACTTCTATTTTTCATTCTTAATATAGTATCAGAGCATCATTCTTAATAGATACGATTACGCAAGTAAAATATTAGTTACTATTCAACGATCAAAACGAGAGTTGAAAACTCACTTAATATGTCACCGGCTCTAAACACCTTCCCATTAGGCCATCCCTCCATGCCCAGATTCCATCCGTTCGATTCGTCAACAACAAAAGTTGAAGCAGCATTGTCATGTTCGAAGCCAAGCAGCAACAGCAATGCCATTGCAACAGCCACCGTGCTCATCGAAACTGCTTCGCTGCTCCCCTCGTGTCAAGCCATTCGTGAAGCCGAAGTAGCTCTCAGAAAAGATATGTAAAACAATTGTATTCCTTTGAAGCTTGGAAATGATGGTTATAAAGATATGTAAAACATACATAACTTGCCTTTTTCTTTTCCTTTGTTTCTTATAGTGAGCAGTTTTGGGATTGATTATATCTCCTCGTTTTGAGATTAAAAGAAAGAGAAACAATCTTACTCGTTCCTCTCCCCTAACCTCTAATTCCTTCCCCAATTATCTCTCCTCAGCCCACCTCCCAAAAAAAAATCACAATTTGCAAAAAGAAACAGAAAAACAATGATTGACCGATTTAATTTGAGAAAAAAATGAGATGGCTTTACCCAATTCTAAGATTTATGTGGAGATATATATTAAATCTTAATTTTTTGTCCTATTTTTTTTTTAGAAATCACCACCAATTATGGTTAAATCTTCGTTAAATCATTACAATGGTTTAGTTTTGAGTTAGAAACTAAATGCCATAATTTATATGAATGCTAGTAAATCACTTTAGATTAATAATATTAGATCAGTAAATTTATATCAGTAGACAAATGAATAGATTAAAAATAAAATGGCAAAGAAAATTTGTGAACATAAAAGTGTTAACAGAAATGAGAAGAAATTGAAACACAGAGATAAAAGAAAGATTTGGAAACAGTGATTCACTAGAAATTTGGAAAACAAGTGAACAACAAAAACAAGAAAAGTAAAAGGCAATAGAGTACATACCCATAAAGAAAAAAACAAGAAAAGTAAAAGGTAATAGAGTAAATACAATAAAGAAAAAAATAAGAAAAGCAAATAGAGAGGGCAGCAAAGCTTAAATAACTCTATCAACTTTTTAAAATAAGATTTTTAATAAAAACATAATTATAGATATATAACATTTGAAGACTTTTAACAATGGACGAATGTAAATTAGAAAAATAATTTTATAGAGTTCAAACTTGAAACTAATGTCATGGGCTCATATATGTTGGCTTGGATTTCAAAGGACAAAATCGAACTTTCATTAGGATAACTTCGAGACATCAACCTATAAGCTAATCAAGTAAGTGGCCTTACTATCGACATGGTTATATTTGATATTGACACGTGCCCCATGGTTTGGCACGTGTCATATATATTGATATGTGTGAATTGTTTGTGAATTGATATGTTTATGATATGTTATGTATATGTTATAATATGTGAATTGTATGATAATAATTACGGTACGATGTGTTCAATGATATGTTTGAGATAGGATACAATAAGGATGCACAAAACGAAATGTAACGATAGGAGTAAGATACGTTCATGAAACGTTAAGGTTAGGTTACATACCGAAGTGCTATGGATATGAGAGATTGATAAAAGAATACGGTTAGGTTATGTGTAGCAAGGGATATGGATAGAAAGGGATAGATGTGTGATAGATTCATAGAACGATAGCGTTAGGATACATTCATGTGATGATATGACTAAGGTACGTTCATGTAATAACATGACTGTGATAGGTATAAGATGTTAAGACTATGATAAGTTAGGGAACGATATGACCACGAAGTGTTTACGCTGTGATATGATTATAATACGACATGTGAATGCCAGATATATATATATATATATATATATATATATATATATATATATATATATAGATATATGTCATCATATGATATGAAATATGTTATGGTACGAGATATATGATAAATTGACTTGTTTATGATATGATATATTGTGATGCAATATGTTCTGGTATGATATCTATACGATGAAATGTTATGTTAAAAGCATGGGATGGTATGTTATGTCTCCTTAATTGTGTGTATATAGCATGATATGAATGACATGAAATCACGATAAATGACATGAAATATAACCCTTTTAGCATTATGTAGAATTATGAGAACTGAAGAATGAGAAACGATATGAGATGAATGATGAACGATATCTGAAATGATATATACAGAATGCTAAGAGGGTTGTATTAAATGATAATGAAAACGGAAAAATGTTGGGACCTCATGCATTATGTGTGCTCATGCATTGGGGGATACCCCTATTCCATCACGAGGATATGGACGCATACATCCATTAGGCAGGCGAAGTATCGTCATGTTTTACATAATGCTGCCGTGACGGTTACTAATTCTAATGGGTGTCCGGTAAAAGTTGAGCTACTAAAGAAGGCTCGCCGGACAAGAAAAGGGGCCCAGCGGTGTACGAACTAACTAGTGAGCCGAAACTCGCATGTATGCGCTGTGTGTAGAGTATATGGTACACATCCAAGCTGCCCAATTAGAATAGTACCGTAGTAAAAATAGACTGATATGATAGGTCCCATCGTTGCATTCGCATGTTCTTGCATTTAACCCCAATAGTGGGGTCATTTACTGAGTATTTCTTAAAATACTCAACCAACGTGCTACTTCTATTTTAGGTTAAGGCAAGGCATTCCTGTACGGCTGACGACGACATCGCAACTCGAGACTATGGCACATGCATAGGGTAGCCGCATTTATTTTCTTAATCTTAGGCTAGAATAGGATGTTTTTAATTTAAACGTTTATTTATTTTATTTAGTTTTTTGTTGTGTCGTTTTAGAGGTGTTTTCAAAACACGTAAGTCGGCTGTGTTTTAAGTTGAGTTTAAATTAAATATTTTCACATTCATGTTTATGATATGTATACAATAGCGACCTTAAATTAAGTAGAAAATTTCGGGTTGTTACAAAGCATGACGCAAATCTCCGTCTACATATCAACTAGCGGCCTATAACACCGCTCGAAATAAAAAAGAGTTTGTGACGCTCATTGCAATTTTTTTTATCAATTAGGTGTAGGAAGGTAGAGTGGCTTACTTCCAAGTGCAAACCACTCCTTTCGACGAAATACATCTTGAATTAGGTCCAATATATAAAATTAATGCAATATAATATTTTATTCCAAAATTTAGAGGACTATATTTTTAACGTTAAATTTGAATAACTATTATAATATTTATTTAAAAAAAGTGAATATATGTATATAATAAAATATAGATTTAGGTTTAAATTAGGTTGTTTGTATTAATTCACGTTATATTCATTTTGATAAAGAAAAAAAATGATTTCTCTTTGATGTATAATTTAAAAATTCAAGAGGAATGATTATAATATTAAGGGGTGGTTTTGTATTGTGCGTTGGAATGCAATGATTGATGCAAAAATTATTGGAAGAATTTATATTTAATATTGAAGAGTAAAGCCAAATATATGACATAATTATTAGGTGCCGAAAATTTATTTAAAGTATTTCATAACGCCATCACTTATACATTCATAATAGGTTATTAAAACAATATGGAAAAAGTAAATAACGTGAATTTTAAATAAAACTAGAAAATAAAGTATTGCCCTGATCTAACGTAAGGGCTAGGGAAGAAAAACAACATGAGTGTATTTACACTAACTTTAGTCTCATAGTTGTCAACGTGACATCGTCATCCGTACAAAGGTGTCTTACCTTAAAGAGCGAGTTGCATATGATTATTCTGTAAAATATTAATCTTCTCAATTAGCGAACTTATAAAGAATGATTAAATATTTTGTGTTTCAGTCTTATACAACTTATTGTATAGGATACTCATACTCACATGGATTTGGATCAATTCATTTGTAACAATTACAATGTGGGCATATCAAAAGTGTAACGACCCTAAAATTTTACCTATTTATTCTAAGGTCATTACCTTGAAATGCGTAATATACATTAAATGACCCTGTTCATAAATGCGACTTACACTCGCCTTTTGTTACCTCGTGAAAGAGAAAAGATTACGAGGGAAAAAGAAACTAACATTATTGAAATAAAGGAAAATGAACCAAAACCGAAATGAATGTTTTAATTCTACCCTATGGTTTATTATGCAAATACAACTCAACCTATACTAACCTATACTAGTGATGCAAAACGAATTCAACCTAGACTATGAAATGGAAAAACACTACCCTATGCATGTGCCATGGTCCCAGGGCGCACGATGCCGCCGTCGTTGTCACAGGGTGCCTTGCCCTTATCTGCAAAAGTAAAGTAGCACGAGGCTTGAGTATTTCTAGAATACTCAGTAAGTGATCCCCTATCGGGGTTATGCAACAATCACATGCAATGAAATGATGGAACCTATCGTTTCATTTCGTTTCATTTCGTTTTCCTTATGGTGCAATCCTAACGGGTAATCGTGGACGTGTACCATATACTCTACACACAGCCCATACGTGCGAGTATGGGCTCACCAGATAGTTCGCACACCGCTGGGCCACTGTCCTTATCCGGTGGGCATACTCTAGGAGCCCCTTATGCCAGGACCCGTTAAAACTAGAACCGTCATGGCAGCGCTATGCAATGCATAACAATCGTTGTCCTGCCATTGGATGTACGCATCCGTACCCTCGTGATGGGATGGGGGTATCCCCCAGATGCATGAACACACATAATGCATGAGGTCCCCCTATTTCTACATTTATCTTTAATGACCATAACTCCCCTGTCACGTTCCATGTTTCATGTCATTCTCATTTTCAATTCACATTTCATACACATTTCTATCGGGGTTATGATTCCAGACAGTTTACCGTGTTTCATGTCATACAATTCATGTTGTTCACTTTCACATATTCCATACAAACATGCCATAATCATTCAAGGACCACATATCGTCACATGCAAAACATATCACATCAAACTAAGCAGCATACATAGCATACATTCACATTCACATGATTTCATACTTAAGCACATTAAACTAGCATACAATTTAATGACACGTGCAAATCCACGGGCACGTGCCAACATACAGCAAATAACGCGTAACCTACGATAGGTGAGCCACTTACTTAGTAGGCCTTAGCCGAAGTACTCCCTAGAATATAACGTAAGCTCCTAGCTCCTCGTGAACGTTCTACGCTTCCGTTGGTGGTTGGTTCCTATTGGTTCATTCGTCACTTTCGTTAGTATTTCACAAATATAATTAATTCTCAACTTGAATTTGTGAAATACGACCATAAAATGTTCTATTTTACCTTAAACAGGGTCGAAACTAAGTCCGAGAGGGTCGGAAAGGTGACAAACAGGCTGAAAATAGGTTTCCCGAGAAGAATAAGCCGCTGGAGCCGAGAAGCCGCCGCCAAGCCGATTGAGCCGCCGGAGCCGAGGGGAGCCACGTTGCAGACGTACCACGTGGCACAATTAGAGAGCGACGCACGTGTAGGGGTCTCAGGTCGAGGCGCGGGTTTTTGGATCGCTCGCGAGTCTCGGGCCGTACGCGGGTGATGGGTCGTTTGTGGGTGTCGGGCCGTTCACGGGTGACAGGCCGTTCGCGGGTGAAGGAAAAATGCAGGCGGGCTGGGCTTATGAGTTTTGGGCTGACCTAAGGGGACTAGGTTCGGTTCAGGTTACGGGATCCGGGCCTCGAGCCAGACTTCGTTCTCTTCGCCCGATTGTCTGCACGTTTTTTCGGTGACCTTTCTCTCTCCTCGATAACGTCATCTCGACGTCCTTTTTTTCTCCTTTTTTCTCCGTTCCCGAGTCTCTTCTTCACCCTAACCCCGTTTTTGGTACAGATTTCGTTTGTAAGGGCCTCACACTCCCGAATCTGGAGAAGTTTGGAAGTCCGACGTTTCGTCTTCCTTGCCGACGGTGTTCAACGTAAAAGATTCGTCTAAATCTATTCCTGATGGGTGTAAAAGGTTCTGGGATTACTTTTGTGGGGGTAAAATGGAGGTTTTGACATCGATCTCGTATGGTTAGGCTTCGCTGGAGTTTTGTCGGGGTTTTCTATTCCTTCTCGTTTTTTTTCACTGTTTTCGTTCTTTGCAGGTCGTTTCGGGGTGGATGAAGGTCGGGGTCGAGTTTTGTGGCATCGCAGCCTTCGAACGCCCTTTGTGGGTCGTGTGCGAGCGAAAACTCCGGTGTTTGCTGGAGTTTTCAGCTCAACCGACGACCCCCTTTTTTTTTTTTTTTTCCGGTTCCGTTACAAAAAGTGCTACCGAGATAAGATACCCAACTTTATCCATATACTATAGACTCTTCACATTATTACTTAAACATGATTCTCCTGTATGTCAACCACGTACTATTCAATGTTACACTAATAACCTTAGATTTTTTAAACAATCGATAATATTAAATTGTAAATAAAATAATCAAAATTATTATTAAAAATTAAATAATTAATTACGAGTCTTTATGATATAAATCCCAACATGGAGACCCCCTAACAACACCAACAAGGTGCTCATAAAGTTCTCATAGGCTTCATGCAATTTTTAGGGCTCAACCCTAATTCTACAAACTCATAAGGGCTTTGTTGTTCCCTACCAATTGGGACAAGTTGACTAATAGAAAATTGACGGGCAAAACCTAGTATTATGATATAGTATAAGCAAATCATAACTAATTCTATAATATTGTCCAGACCCTTGGCAATCGAGTCAATTTCATGACGAGGAGTTAGTTGACGAACACTTGATCATCCCTGTATACCTTCATGTGGATGTGTCTTTTCCCATCATCGGTTCTCAAATTACAGACTTCTGTTGATTTTGGTTTCTTCATTAAACCTTTAGTATTTTTCAATTCAATTGTAATGAGCCACAAACCATCGAGTTTGGTTAAGAATTGAGAGAGATATTATCTGCTAATGTGAGATCCTACATCGATTGGGGAGGAGAACGAATCATTTTTTATAAGGGTGTGAAAACCTTTCCTTAGCAGCCATATTTTAAAAACCTTGAAGAGAAGCCCAAAATGAAAACTCAAAGAGAACAATATCTATTAACGGTTGGCTTGAACAGTTACAACTAAAGTTCCTCAAAACTCCAAAATCGTACCTTACATTTCCAAGCTCAATCTCCTCCTATAGTCCCTCTTAGTTCACAAATCCTTCATGAAGGCTATAAAGCTTCCTCTAATGAGTCTATATCAATTTTAGTTTGTTAATATTAACCATTTAAACTATTTATTCTTACGCATTAGAATTATTTGATTCGATTAAAAATTAAAGTAAAACATTGTATAAGAAAGAACGAACGAGTTGACGAATGTGCGTAGTGTATTCAATGACAAGGAATTATCAAGGTGTAGAACCTGATGTTTACTTGTTGATTAAATTTTAGCAAATGTTTGAAATCATCAATATAAACTCCTAACGACCGTTATCTACGGGGGTAAGCTTATGCTCAAAGTGGACAATATCATATTATTATGGAGAGTCATGATTCCTAGCATGGTATCAGAGCCATGCCCTAAACTTAGCCATGACAATAGAATCCTCAAATATCGAACAAAGATTGTGAGCCTCGAAGGTGTACTAAAAAGGTGACTAAAGTGTCGAATAAAGGGTGTACTTTGTTCGATGGTTCCAGAGAAAGGAGTCGAGTCTCGATCAAGGGGAGGTTGTTCGAGAGCTCCACCAGAGAAAGGAGTCGAGCCTCAATCAAGAGAAGGCTGTTCGAGAGCTCCATATGTCTCAGGAGAGGCTTATAGTGTACTTTGTTCGAGGGGAGAATTATTGAGGATGGTTGGGAGTGAGTCTAACGTTGGCTAATTTAGGAAATGATCATGTGTTTATAAGTAAACGAATACATCTCCATTGGTTTGAGGCCTTTTGGGAAGCCCAAATCAAAGCCATAAGAGCTTAGGGTGGAATCACTATAGATATCATATTATTGTGGAGAGTCGTGATTCCTAACAGAGTTTTGCTAGTATTTGATAATCATTTATTTTTTTTAAATAATTTTTTTAATGATTTTTCTCCAATGATTTTCATTTTCTTAAATAAACATTTAAAATTTTAGTTGTATTCCAAAAAGAAAATCAAATCGTTAAAACTATTTTTTAGTTTGAAAACTTAATTTTTAAAAACATTAGTAAAAGTTTTAGTAGCAAAAGAGAGTTAGAAATATTATAAATATTATATAAATTTTTAATATTACAAAAAAAATTAAGTAAAAGTTTTAATAACAAAAGAGACAAAGAGTTAGAAATATTATAAATATTATACAAAAGTTTAATATTAAAAATAAAAATCTAAATGATTATGAACTAAGACGTTGAATACTCTAATTACTTCCAAATAATCCTTAAATTTTAAGATTATTATAATCCAATTTAAAAATATTAAATTAATAAAAATCCAAACTTTAAAAAATTTCAATAATACTTTAAAATTTAAAAAAAAATTAAAAAATACCCATAAAAAAATGGTTTAAATATATTTAAATTTTTAAAAATTTTATTAATATTTTTTTTTTGAAAACTTCAAAGCACATTTATACTTTTTTTTTTGTTTAAATTATATTAAAAATAAAAAAACTCTAAATCTAGTAATTTATTTAAGATTCCTCGTACATTTTCAAAAATTATAATAATATCTTTGACCTTAGTAAATATTTCAAAATTATCCAAAATTACAATATTATTCTTAATTTTTTTTTAAATATATCAAAATTACTATTGAAATATATTAAAATAGAAATTCATTTAGAATAATTAATGAAAAATCAACGTTTTTTTTAAAATGAATTCAAACACATATTACAATCACGAATGTATCATTGCAAGTCACCGTCATGATATGGAAAGATTGTTATTTATTTTTTAAATAAGAATTTTAGTGTTTTTTTAATAATTAAGAAAAAATATAACAAATTTTAAACGGAGAAAAACAATAGTTCCCTATAGAAAAGATAATTGGGAGTAGAAAAGTAAAGGACACCAAAAAAATTCATTCCCACCGCCCCGAGTTCAACCTCTCTGCTTCGATTCTTCTTCCCATAAATAAACCCATCGCTATCCATTTTGTTGGTTTCAATTTGTTCTCCGAGTTTGACCGGTAACCTTTCTCTTCAATCTCCACGCTTCTCTTTTCAGTTTTTAAATTTCTATCATACCCTTTCCTCAAATCATTATGTTACCCCGATTTTAGGTTGCGGATTTGTATGAGTGGATCCGAATTGTGGCGCAAGAAAGTTTCGAAATCTCCTGTTGGTTTAGCGAAGAGGTGATTTTTCTGCTCTAGTTTGGAGACCCGGGGTTAAATCCTATTTTCATTTTCTAAATTTTGAGCTGATTATTGAATTCTATGTTGCCATGAGTGCTTTGTTGATGATCCAATTGGTTCTTGTCAATTTGGTTGCCAATTACTTATGTCGTTGGGATTGAAAGAGGATTGGCTGGTTCTAATATTTGCTGGATTTTTTTAGCTGATTATTGAATCGGCTGTTGCTAAAGTGATTTGTTGATGATCCGATTTGTTCTTGTCAATCTGGTCGCCAATTTCTTATGTCGTTGGATTTGAAAGAGGATTGGCTGGTTCTGATATTTGCTGGATTTCATTAGGGCTTATTTAGAATGTCTCCATAGAGAAAATAGTTTTTTGTTTATTCCATTATTATTGTTCGAATGTCAAATTTCTTCTAGTTTATATATTAGGAGGTCAACTGTGTCGAGGATTGACGTATCAATTAAGCAAACAACAATTGAAATCTGCAATTCATTGGTTAATCTTCCAATCCACGTTTGACTTTGTTCTATTTATGTTAAATTAATTAAAGGAGCGAGATTATGATGAGTTGTATGTATCTTCAGGAAGTTGACGTGAGAAGAAGACTTTGCTGAGGGCATAGAAGAATGGCCAATACTGCAGCAGCCTGTGCAGAGAGGGCAACCAGTGATATGCTGATTGGTCCAGACTGGGCCATAAACATTGAGCTATGTGATATTATTAACATGGACCCTGGGTAATAAGTTTTTATTATTTTTCCTTTTTCAGATTAATCGTACTATATTTAGATTGAGGAAGTGCAACTTTGTTTCTCCTAATGTATTTTACAAATTTTAAGAGACATCGTCTATGCCATTTTGTAATCCTTTTTGTCTCTTCTATCGTTTCGGACAGGAATTGTTAAATTTCATCAAAGAAAGTAGGATATATGAAATCAGAACCAATGGGCCCCCCCCCAGTTCAGGAACCAAGCGAAAATCATAAGAACTATTTAAACCGAAAAGATGAAAAATAAAATGAGGCTAAAAAAGTTTTTTGCTATTTAGTCACAAAAAAAGCTACAAACTTATCTTAAACTAAATGATGCTTTTAGCATTAATGTACTAAGTTTCTTGTGATTTCTTTGGTGGTTAGGCTTTAGAGGGGAAGAACTGCCTTTTTGCAGTTGTAATGTTTCAGTTGTTTATTTGGTTTTGTTATTGGAGACAGATGGGAGAGTACTTTTATTAATCCAATTTTTTTACTAATTGTTTAATGAGGTAAACTTCTTGGTTTGTGCTTGCATTTTGAAGGACATTCTCTGATGATTATTACATACTTTTTCTAATTGGAAACAAAAATTGTATTCGTAGTTTTGGTTGTAATTTTATCAGATATCTGTAGTGAAGTCCTCTGATTTAGAAACACGGTGAAATAGAGAAAATTCCATTTCATCAAAAGAAGTGCTTGAATTAGCTTAAATGCTCATTAATCAAAAGACTTCAATCTTGTTTGGATTGCAACACTTTGCATGATAATCTCTTAATCCATTTGCTGAAAGACATATTTTGGTGAATGACTAACATGCAATGACTTACGAGTTATGATTAAACTTGTGACTAAAAGTTTCCCTTTCTCAATGCAACAGTATACATTGCATGAGAATCATTTTGTGTTTTCGTCATAATAATTCTTTTTTTCTTTTAATATTTTAAACCTCTCATCATAACCTCACATTTAGTAGTGTTAAATAGTCGTCATTGAGAATAGTCAACATGCACTTAAGCTGACCAAAATACTCACAGATATATAAAACAAAAATTAACCTCATTGGCTTGTTCAATGCCCCTCTTGGATCTTTGTAATCAAGGATTTCTCATTCTTTTGAACTGGAGTCCTTTCTTAATTATGTAGTTTGTTAGTTTTCTGCTTTTCTGGCTCCTTCTATTTTGTGTTTGACCATTCTTATATTGCCCCAGTGTATTCTTCTATTTTATCTCAATGAAAGTTGTTTTCTTCATAAAATAAAATAAACCTCATTAGAGCATGTTACTTGAAAATTTCTTTAATCTATTTGCAGAAAGAAATCTGTTGAATGAATGAATGACTAACATAAAGTGCTTTATGCTTAAATTTGTGACTTAAGAGTTTCCTTTGCTTAATACTAGAGTCTGCACAATAGATTATTTCCGTTTTAGTTGTACTGCTTTTTTTAAAAAGTTTTATTGACGATGGTCTGAATCTCATATCCCACTTTTCTCATCTACATCATTTTCATTTTACAATCAACATGCTTATTCTATTTATTGTGATGGTTTTGAACTTTGATCATTGTTTCAAATTGTCAATGTCAGGCAAGCAAAGGAGGCCTTGAAGATACTCAAGAAGCGGCTTACAAACAAAAACCCCAAGATTCAGATTTTGGCTCTTTTTGTAAATTTCTCTTTCCCTTATCGAATCAAATTTTATCGAGTCACTTACACTTGCATGTTTTAACTAAACTAGACCATGACACTGATTAATTCATTAAATCTGAAGCTATTGTGTATTATACTTGCATTTACTATAAAATTTTGGCTAAATTTACAAAATATCCCTGATCTTTGCCCTCGGTTTTAAAAATACTTATGTTATCTTAAAAGTTGCAATATTACGCTTGACCTTTCATAGAAGTCATAAAATTATTTTTAGAGTATAAATTTGTTGAACGTTGGACAAAAAGTGTATAGAGTGGTAACCTAGAACGATATGATAGTGACTAGGACACTTGACTGCATTAAGTTTGAATGAAAGAACATTGTTTTGTCACATCAACTTATTGTCCAATATTCTAACAAGTTTTCTATTTCAAGGGTAGTTTTGAAACATTTATGAAAGGTCAAGGATAATATTACACTTTTAAAAGAATATTGGATCTTCGGTTGTATTCCACAAAAAGAAACCACTCCTTGTAGAAGTTTTTTTTCAAGATCAAACAGAGAGATTGATACTATCACACTAGTTCAACACACACAAGAATCTCATGAAAGCTGAACTCGTATCATTGGCAGTTAAGGAAGAACAACCTTGGAGAAAAAAGTGAGAAAAAATTGAATGTATTTTCCAATTAGTACCCTTTATATAAGAGAGAAAACGAATCACAAAACCCCTTATTTATGCATTGTACTTGTACTTTTAACTTCTGGATAGATATTCTCAATATCTTCGGATGAACCTCTCTTCATCTAGGGAGGTCAAGAGTTTATTGGACATGGTCTTAATTTACTATCCCTTCAATAATGCACAAGCTCTGTTATGGACTAACCTCAATATGACTTTTGCGAAATTGAAGAGTTTTCCCAGAAAAGATACAAACTCATTCTAGGCTTTTCAACAATGTAGTTTACCCTGCTATTCTTTTGGTGTAAAATTGTCTAATACTTTTGATTCCTATTGTCATACCTCCCTCATTGCTAATTGGGAAAGTTTTTTGTAAGCATCATAAATAACACATCCCTTTTGTAAATTTTAAACATCAATGAAATTGTCTCTTACAAAAAAGGAAAAGAAAGAAAGAAAGAAAGAAAGAAAGAATAGGGAAAGTTTAAAATGAGGGGCGAAGTTCAAGGATCTTTTTATAGTTTATCCAAATTTTCCTTTGTAGATTTGTGGTTTTTCTGTATTCTCTCGATTGCTCCATTATGTTTTGGTCACCCATTTGTAATTCGTTCCTGTGTGAATGATTCGAGGCTTTTTTACCATATCCAATATGTAAAGCTCACTATGTCTTCTTTCAAATATTAATCATATAGGCCTTGGAGACTCTTAGCAAAAATTGTGGTGAGAATGTGTTTCAGCAGATTATTGAGCGTGACATCCTGCATGACATGGTTAAAATAGTGAAGAAGAAGGTGACTTTCTATATTGACCTATGATATATGACTAATAAAAGGACCTGTCTATGTGGTTCCATTTTGTTTATTCATTGGTTGTGCTGCTTTTTTCTTCTTTGCAAACTCAGGCAAGCATAGTAATGCTTTCTTTCAATATGTTTCAATTTTGCAGCCGAGCTTGGATGTGAAGGAGAAAATATTAGTTCTAATAGATACATGGCAAGAAGCATTTGGGGGACCAAGGGGAAGGTATCCCCAGTGCTATGCTGCTTATAATGAATTAAAGGTAGGTAGTTTTTTTTCTTTATTCATTCTTTCTCGAGCCTGAAACTCTGTAGAGTGATCTTCACTTGCTTTATAAAACTTCTTATAGCGATCAGCCGGAAATTATGTATAGTCACCTTCACTCGCTTTATAAAAGTTCTTTAGCGATCTCATTCCCTTAAACAGAAGATATTTTATGTGTTTTTTCTTCTTAACCCTTGTCCAATAGAAGTTTAACTTAGCAATTGCCTGAATCAAATTATAAATATCATTTTCGTTGGTTTCTATTTTGAATTATTTCAATTCATTCGTTTGTATGCCAGCTGTGCATTGAAACTCTTAAATTTCATGTTCTTCCGGATGGTATTAAATTTTTGCTTGATGCTTGTATAAGATTTATGTTGCTACAGGGCTTCTATATTTACATTCCTTCGTTTTTATATAATATCATGATATAAGTAAGCAGTTATTTATGCATCACACACAAACCTGATTAATTGTTCTTTAGGTGCTACTTCTATCTCTAATTTTCTCCATAAATTCTCAAAATTCGTTGTGCTAAGAAGTTAGTGTGCATATATGCCAAAGACCCGAAGAAAAAGCCTTCAGCAAGGAGAATTGATGACCAAAGAGAAAAAAACCTTCAATAACATCTGGACTGAAAAGAGAATAAAGAGCCCTTCAAAAGAATATGTATACCACCCGAGGAGGCAAAAGAGGGCAGCCTGAATTATTCCTTTTAAGCTACAATGTAGATTTGGAGAGCCTTCTATCAATAAGAGGGAATATGGTTCTTAGAAGATAACGAAGGGGGATTGGCTTTGAGAATGGAAGATTTGACTGTAGCTATTTCTTTCATTGCTTAAAAAAACTCGGTCATTGAAGTTGAGAATTCTTTCATGAGGAACCGTAAGATTCCTATTTGATTGAAATGGAGATGGGGGCTTATCATGATTGACGGGAAGTGTGATGGTTTAGTAGCTCTCTAATGATTGAGTTTATTTTATTTTATTTTATTATTTTTTTTCCCATTCGTTTTCTTTTGTTCCGATGGTATGAAGCTAGTGAAGTTCTTTTCAACCTTGATGTGGGTTTCCATGTGATCTAATTACTAGAGGACAGGGTTTTAGGAGCATATCTAATAAAGCCACCACAAAGCATTGCTAATGCCAAATGAGGGATTTCAAGTTCCATTTTTGAGAGGGTTCCATCCTTCAAACATTTGGGTTGATATTGATAAAAAAAGGAGATAGTATTATTGGCTTTTTGAGGTTTAAAGCAGACAATGGGAGCCACATTTGATTTTGGAGGACTCTTGGGCGTTGGAGATCCCTTGTCCATGTGAAGGTTCCAGCTTTATATGGTTTATATACGAAAGAAGGAGAGGTTATTGGTGATTGTTAGAGGGCTGTATCACAGACTTGGGACACTGGAATTAGTAGAAGACTCGTTAACAGAGGGATTCCTAAATGGGCAGAGCTCTAGAAAATTCTAGATGCAGTCTGAGTAGCTACTCGGCAAGATAGATTGCTGTGGAAGATTGATTCCGTAGGATCCATCATGCCAAAATCTGCGTTCATCTTACTAAGCCAAAAACGAAGATGGGAACTCCCCTGGTGCATGAAATCTGGAAATGTGAAGTCCAAAGAAAGTCAGTTTTCATATAATCCTCCTTATAGAAGTCTTGAAACCTGCCGATAAACTGCAAAGGAAGTTCCCGAGTTGGTTGTTATCTCCCTCATTCTTCTGTTTGTGTTTGAAAGAGGCTGAATCCTTGGGATCACATCTATCTCAATTGCCCTTTTGCTCGGTTGGCTAGGTCCTCCCTGTTGGCAGATTTTGATATGGCTATTTGCGGTCCTGGAAAAGTGGACCTTTGGTTATTGGAAAGTCTGGGGGAAAGTTCAACGGGAAAGCTAAAGTTTTATGGAAGCATGCGGTGAAGGCTAATCCTTCTCTCATTTGCAAGGAGCGAAACCAGAGGATCTTTGTGGATGGAGTGACATTAGTGGATTCTTTTTGGAGTATCATACAACATACTACACCTTGGTGGTGTTTAAACTATAAGAATTTTTTTTCATAACCTCCCTATAATTACTAATGATTGGAAGGCTTTGATCGTGTAGCTTTTTCTGGCTAGGGGTTTTCTTCCCTTAGCTCCGATGTTGTTTGCTCCCTTTATGTGCTAATAATATTTCTCAAATTTCTTGTCAGGAAAAAATAGTTACAATAAAACTTTCATATTGTAAGTGAAGGTTTCTTGCTTGGTTCTTCATTCACATTCGAATAGAAGCTAGTTGAGGTGGAAATACTTTTGCCTGGAGAAAAGAAACTAGTTGAGGTGGAAGGCGAGGCTTTGGTAGGCTATTCCTTTACATTAAAGTTTGGCATCATGGTGGGAGGCGCATGGGTAATCTTTAATGAGCGAGAAAAGAAGACCAACCCAAAAGATTTTTGCTTACAAGTATCATGACGTTTCTTTTCCTACGGGAGTTACCAAATTTAACAAGCTCAATGGTTTTCTCCTTCTCTGTTGGGGGGTTCTTCAATTTTAAAAACCAAACCCACATATTCATCACCTCTAATTCTCTATTTCAAAGAATTTGATTCTGCTACCTCTAAAAGCACTGTCAATCTTGATGATGGATCTTCTTTTGCACAATCACAACCACAGAGTTTTGCTTGAAGCTCCAGCTCACGGCAATTGAAGAGTAAAAGAAAACTAGAGCAGGGGTCAGGGAGAGGCAGAAGGGGGCTTAGGTGAGGAAGAATAAACCATGGAAAATGTGGGAGGCAGACAGAGAGGAATTCAGGAGAGGACGCATTTCAAATAATGCAACTGAAATTTTTGGTTTCTGGGTTCTGTTAAAAATGAATATCAAATGGGTTAGGTATCTAGAAATTCTTCCATCTGGCTTTTATCGTGCAATTGTCTGATGCTCTTTTATTATGGTGTTAATGGTCTGAATTTTGGTGGTAGGAGTCGATTATTAATAGAAAGTGATCCAGAAATTGGACAAGAAGCTGAAGTGCCGAGTGCAGAACAATTTACTTGGTCGAATAGTAAATGATATAGAATGCCTTCCTTTCAAAAGGAAAATTGCCGCTTGGTTTTTGGACTTGAATCTGATAGAACTAGGTTTTGAAAGATCCTAACCCACAGATCCTAAGAAAATAAATTTTTATAGATTTTTTTTACCATTTGTAAGAAACTACACAGGTGGTGTACTTTATAGTATGATAAGAATAAAATGGTCTCTGTCGGTTTTGAAGATTTTTCGCTGCTTCTTGAACCTGAGATGAGTCTTCTTTATTAGGAGGGAGGAATTCGTTTATTTGTTTGTAGTTTTGGGTAGTGATCCCTACTCTTTAATAATTACTAATTAGGAAAAGGTTATGTGATTATTTTGGTTCTGGTTGTGGAGAATTGGTATCATTCCGTTCTCCACTCCTTCCTATGGTGAAAATTAAGTGGTGAAAAATTACCCCTCACGTTACTTCAATTTTTTTCTCATACTTCTAAAATTGATCTTTTTCCTGTTTGTGTGTGAATTGATGAAATCTTCATTCGATTTCTTTTTCCCTTTTTGCCACGTACCGATCATTACTTCCATTCTTAATAGAATCTGGCCTTTCACAGAATGCTGGAGTTGATTTTCCACCACGAGAAGAGAATAGTGTTCCATTTTTTACTCCACCTCAGACCCAGCCCATTGTTAATCAACCTGCTGCAAGCTATGAGGATGCTGTACTTCATGCCTCTCTCGATTCTGATGTTTCTGGCCTGAGGTACTTTGAGCTCATTTTCTCCTGTGTTTGTTCCTGACATTCCACCACTAAATCCTCTGCATATCTGTTTCTGTCCCACTCTTGCATTATTTGAATTTTGCATAAAAATGTTATTCATTCTACTTGTGTCCTCCCATAGCCTTGTGTACATTTATCTCCGAAAGTTTTTGGTCTAACTGCTGTCTATCAAACTGAGTTTATAACGTACTCAATAAGTTTAACAAATCAAATAACTGAACCATTTAGAGTATAATAACATATAAATGATAGATAAACCAAAACAGTTAACCACCCACACGATATCAAGCTTTTAGTACATCATCCACCCACTCGATTAATCCACCCTCGTTTCCCCATTGATTGGTGTGGCATTGCCCCATGGTTTTATATCATCACATAGAAATGCAGTAATAGTTACCCTTTGCAGCCCCTGTGGTTCTTTTAACGTTTTATAATGTCAATCCGCTGGTGATGTGCAACGGCATTGGTTGTTTTTTTTTGGTCTATGCTACGATATAGTTCATGGAAAAATTGCTTGCTTTGACTTGAACCCTTGGGGATAATTTTGGCCAGTTCTCTAGTTGTTAGATATGTTCTTAATATATAGCTAGTTTTCACTCCTATTTGATGGGCAAAGGATTACTAACAAATAATAATTTTATTTATAACAGCTTGCCAGAGATTCGGAATGCACAGGGGCTTTCAGATGTGCTATTGGAGATGCTTGGTGCTTTGGACCCTAAAAAACCAGAGGTAGGTTATCTGTACATCTTCTATAGACTGAATTTGTGATATAAAATTTGTTTAAATTAAGCCGATTAAGTACAAATTTCCTTTCAAGATGCAGGAAGTTGTGTACTATTACAAACTTATCTACTTCATTCTTGTTGTGTTAAACTGCCTGAATAAAATAGGCACAGGACTAGCTGAAAAAAAGATCAAATAGTAACTAAGTTAATCAAATAAAAACAAAACAAGGGTAGTACTTCTGTAGGCGATATGTCCCTAATATCAATTAAATTTTTTCATGTGTATGTGCTTCATTAACACTGAAGAAAACAAAATGTTCCTTGACAGGGCGTGAAGCAAGAACTGATTGTTGACCTGGTTGACCAGTGCCGGTCTTATCAAAAGCGTGTCATGCTGCTTGTAAATAGTACAGCGTAAGAGTTTTCTTTCCCAGCCATTTTTTTTATTTTATTTTTATAAGAAACAAGGGATGCATATTCAGAAGAGAGGTATAATAAAAAAAAAATGATGCTTTGTTTACATTTTCCATACTCTGTATGCTGATTATTGTTTTCATTTCACCAGAGATGAAGAACTTTTATGTCAGGGATTGGCTTTGAATGATAGTCTGCAGCGAGTACTTGAACAGCATGATAATATTGCGAATGGAACTACTACTAGGAACGCAACAGGAGCTGAATCATCATCTCTTCCGATTATAAATGTCAGCCATGATGATGACGAATCAGAAGATGATTTTTCACAGTTAGCTCGAAGGTATTTATAAAATTCTCTCTACGAAATGATCTCCATTGAAATGATCTCCATTAAAATCTCTGCTGAGTGATTACAGTGTTTCTGATAGTTTGAGACTGGGCTTGAATGTTCATTCTTGTTAGGAGTTAGGACATGATTATTGTATAGAATTGTTAGATCAAAACATTTGAGTTTCTAAACGCCCAACATTCTTCCCATTTCATATTTTCATGGAAGTTCAATGTATGCATTGTAATTCGTTGCAGAAAACCAGCCAGCAGTAATACAGAAGGAACTCGTGTTGGCCCTCTTCTACCTCCTCCACCATCATCAAAGAGGCCTGTTGTTACAGGAGGCAGCGGCGTGGTTGATTACCTCAGTGGTGATGCTTACAAATCAGAAGAAACATCAGAAACCTCTCGTCCACCGTTCACAGTTCCAACTTCAACCCCGCCGTCTTCTTCTCCCCTTCCCCATGTTGAACGCTCTATCCCATCACAGCCACTTCCCACTGGACAACCTGTGTATGATGAACCAGCTCCCACGAGCAGGTCTGCTGATCCGCTGCCTCCAGCACAATGGGGTTCACAGTCCCAAAGCTCCTTTCTTCCACCACCACCATCAAAATATGATCAGAGACAACAGTTTTTCGACCAACAAGAAACTCATGGGTCAGGTTCGTACGATAGTTTAGTCGGACATGCACAGAGCCTCTCTCTCAATTCACCAACCCCAACTAAGCAGGAAAAGCAAGAGGATGTACTATTTAAAGATCTGGTTGATTATGCCAAAGCTAGGTCGTCTTCTTCGTCAAAGCCGAACCGATCTTTGTGAACATTTTGTTAAAAGATGAAATTAATTGGTGTTGGGGTACAGATTATAAAGTTGCGTTTAGCCCATCAGGTCTTGTGCACCAAATTGGAGATTTATCAATTACCAAATTATATTTTGGAATAGGAAGCCTGGTTTTTGGTTGTGTATGTATGGTTTTTCTGGGTTGTGAATGGATCGAGCACTTTGTTGCATATATTTGGCTTTTATCTATCTATTTATATATAATTTATACCATATGTACTTACATAATTACATCATTGTTGTAAATTAGTCTAGTCCGAGATGGATCTTGCTTAAATTACTTGTATTGATTTTTATGTGTTTGGATTGTACAACAATGCACACATTCATCTAGATGAACACAAAGAGCAAGAGAGAGAAATTGGCTCCAAATATGTACAGTAACATAATATAACTCTCAAAGGTCTATTTGAGGGGATATATATGGTTTAGATAGAAAGTACTCGAAATATATATATATATATATATATGTATGGGTCATAGTTCTCTACCTATTATTTACCAAAATACAGCTTTATAACCGACTAAACTCAAGTTTTAAAAAATTTCAAATCGATCTTCTACTGGGTCCTTATCATTAAACGTTGAAGTTACACTTTAATTTCATTAAAATAAATTAAAGTACTCTAAGTAATGAGAAAAATACTTAATTGAAAAAGAAGAAGAAAAAAGGTTGCCAAACTAAAATTACAAGTACACTAAAAATGATTGCACTTTTTTTAAAAAAAAATCATTTTATGTACATAATTTGTTTAATAAAAAAACTTTATTGAATGGTCAAATTCACTTAACAAAGTAATGATGATATATATATATATATCAAAAAAGAAAAAAAAAAAAAAAAAA